TTCTGGGAGTTGAAGTCCACTCATCTTAAAGTGGCCAAGTTTGGACAACACTGACCTAAACAGTCAAGGATTTTCTTTTCTAGTTGGTCAACAGCTCTTCTCAGGAGCATCTCCAGGGGTAGGGGAAAGAGTGCCAAAAAGTCAAAATGGCTGTCACTACCACATAATCAAAGCCCTGCTCCTTTTTTATGTGCATTGTGTGTCATCTTTGAACGCCACCATCACCAATCGATGCCCCTGACTCCTCTGCTTCATACACTATTCTGCACAATTTTATACCTTCAAGTGCACGTTATGGATGGAGCCTTCAAGGCTATAGGTTTGAAGTAGGGCTGGCATGCCCACTGGGTTTCTAGACAGAGGTGATCCAAGCTCTCTCTTTTTTTTTCTTTGGATTAAAATAAACTATAGATTGAAAACATGACACAGATCAAAATAATTACTTGTATTAACACTGAGATGCACGGAAGACTAGTGCTCTGTCTGAGTTCTGAACTTAAACAGCAACTATAAAGAGAAATTGGCATCAAAAACAGGTAAGGAACCAGAGGGTTCAAAGGAAGATTTGAAGGCTTGCTCCTAAAGACACAAACATCTGACGGAGCCCTCCCTATACCAAACCACTAGCACTATTAAATGGAGCTTGTTGACGGTGTAGTCTGAACCATCTAAAGAAGCCCAGGTGGCAAATGTTCTGATACTGGCAACCAACTAGGCTACTGCCTTCTAGATATTTCTGACTCATCTAGCAAGTTTTATAGTAAATTGGGGAAGACTTTTGTAAGAGACTGTCCACCTAACTTGTTAATGCTTGTTAATTTTAACCTTATTACATAGTTTTCTGACTTATAGATTAACCGTGCAATTTTTAAAATAGCTGTTGAGAAGAAAATGTCACCAAGTTCAGTGGGGATCTACTCTTGGCTGGGGTTTTATTATTGAGCTTAAATTATACCTTTGCTAAAAACCAACCAACCAACCAACCCTCCCATTGGTTTTCTGCATGTGCCTGCTGACAGTTATGGAATTCAGTTCACTATTCAGTTCAAGATGGCTTGTCATGGGATCTCACCATAAATAATACATACATGGTGCAAAAAAAAAAGATGTGCTTTAAAAAATACCTATTTTAGCTATTATATGTTGAAAGCAATCCTATAGATAGAAACTACAAAAACATACTAGCAAGAAATTTGAAAGGCACAAGGCTATCTTTGTAAACAGAAGTCAATTTCCAGAAGCATTGTAATAATCATTCTTACTAGGCTAGCTTTTCTACTTGCTTTCCTTGAGCGGCTGCATGCCTGCCTACCCAAAATGTATGCGGATCCAACAGAAAATACAGAAAGCTAGGGAGGAAAGAGCCTTGAAAAAAATAAGTGTAGGACAGAGCAGAGGTAGAACAATTCAGCCATGAGTCTATGCAGGACACCAAGGATGAACATCTCCAGGACTTTCTGAGAAAGGAGTCCTAGGCTTGATTAATGCTTCACTGTAGTGAACCAGATGACCCAGATCAGAAGCAGGTAGAGGTTCTGTATTGTGCAGTGCTTAGGTTATACCCATCTCTTAAGACATGTTCCCCCTCACTTTTTGTCCTCAGCATCATCTGGGAAGAGTCTGTAAGCCAAATAGTCCATGGACTCCTGAGCCAGCTTGGAGAGGTGGAGGACACCAGTAATCACCAAAGCAATGAGCACTAATGGCAGCACCACACTCCACATTGTGGCAAGGATGTTGTAGCATTTGGCTTTGGAACTATAGCGATGGGCAGCTTCCAGGTCCCCAGTCACCTTCTGATCCCGAGCCTTCAAGGAAAAAAAAAAGTAATATTTGAGAACATATTACTGAAAGCATATCATTTACTGTATATAAACCACCTGGCTGTTGTGTTAAATGTTTGTGCTCTTCCTCTCTTCCACAGTGCAAATGGCACAGTCCAGGGAAGGAATATTGCACACACAAAAAATCCATATGTTAACAATTTTGCTTAGTGACACGTTGCTACATTTCATATATCATAGTTCAATGCCACCTAACTTGTGGAAGATGAATTCAATGCAGAAACCCCAAAGAGGCAGCAGGAGAAATCAAATCATGTCCTTAATCTTGGTAGACCAGCAGTTACACATTCTGTAGTTTTAACAAGAGTAGGAACACGGCACAATTTCCTTCCAGGGAAAACCACATGAAATTGCAATTGTTCTCTAAAATTTGCCCACACACTCTAAACAGTTCCCATAGTTCTTTTCCATCTGTGCCTCGACCAACTCCAATTGCTTGTATGTCACTACTTCTGCTTTCATCCTATGTTGTACTTCAATCTCACATTTTCACGAAGCACAGAATGCAGCCCCTTAAACATAATCAATAAATGCACCATTTATTCATCAGGTGGTAAAGATATTGATACAAGGGTTGTCTCACAAATTCTCTGCAGATTCTTGCTCATGATATCATTTAAACTTTTTCAGTAAGTGAGCCTAAACCAGTTTCATTGCAAAGAACGTGCGGCATAACACTTCCAAAATTAACTAACATTAACTAGGATTGATTTTATTGGCACCATTTATTCATCAGGTGGTAAAGATATTGATACAAGGGTTGTCTCACAAATTCTCTGCAGATTCTTGCTCATGATATCATTTAAACTTTTTCAGTAAGTGAGCCTAAACCAGTTTCATTGCAAAGAACGTGCGGCATAACACTTCCAAAATTAACTAACATTAACTAGGATTGATTTTATTGTATCCTAGCCTTTCCCACATCAGCCCTGTTTCTTTGTCTCTCTGTTCCTCCTCCTCTCCTTATTTTCCTCTAATGCCTTTAATAGCCTGACACACAAAACATGCAGTTTCTCCCATCTTTCAGATCTACAGGAAACACCAGTGTCCTTTTGGAATGTCAACCTACTGTAAAAAGGTAGAGTAGAAGAACTTTGGAAAAATGTTTTAACAGTAACTTATTTACTTAAAATATTGTATTCCATCTTCTACTTTACAAAGTGTTTGAAGCAGCTTGTCTTTGGAGGAAACACAGCCCAGTCGGAATATGAGCTAATCCTTTTTTTTTTTTTTGCCTGTAGCCAGACAGGTTAATGAGACAAAAATACCTACCTACCTATCTACTCACTCTATGGTGAGCAATGTTCAAATCTCTCAGAAAACTGATTACCCTTCTGGCTTCACTATTTCAACAATAACAGCAACAACAGACAACTCTAATATTGCTAAAAAACTTCAGTTAGTAAATGAAATGCCTGGGCTTGACTCATCACAGAAGTTATAAATATAATCTAGAACATGTGTTTTCCGCTGTTGATGGGGTTAAACATTGCTCTAAGCCATCCTGTGGTTGGTTTGTTTCTTAGCTCAATGTGTGAAACCATTCAATTGTGGTTTATTCAATGCACTATGGGTAGTGTAATATGTAAACAGCAGAAACTCTTTCTTTGGGGCATCACAGAAAGGCTCAGCAATTAAAATATGCCACCAGTGTGTCATCAGAAGATGAATTCTGAACTGAAATGGTTCCACTTGATGTTGGTGGTGGGGAGAAGTCTCTCCCTATGCCCCTTCACTGTGGGGTGCCACAGGGCTCAACACTCTCTCCCTTCCTGGTTAGCATGAAACCACTGGGTGAGGTCATCCACTGGTTTGGGGTTCAGTATCATCAATATACTGATGATACTCAGTTATATTATTGAACCCCAGGCCAGCAAAATGAGATTGTTGAAGTCTTCTCCTACCTGAAGACTGTGCAGGCCTGCATGGGAGGCATCAACTTTGACTCAATCTTACCAAGGTTAAGTAGCTGTGGATATTAGGACCCCCTAGATCAGGGGATTTTCTATTTTTAATCTTGGAAGGGATAGTTTTTCCCTATTTTAGAGAGGTGCACAATATGTTATTCTTGGATTCATAGCTGCTGCTTGAAGGGCAGGTGGCAGCTGTGGCCAAGAAGGCTCTACCCTGTGTACCAATTGTGCCCCTTCCTGGACAAGGAGGCCCTTTAGACAATCACTCACACCCTAGTCTCCTAATGGCTTGTCTGTTGCAACACATTCTACATGGCACTGCCCTTGAAGATCTCTTAGAAGCTTCAATTGGTCTAGAATGCAGTGGTGCAGGCAATGATGGGTGTGCCTCGATATACCCACATGACACCTCCACTTCATGAGCTGAACTGGTTGTCAGTGTGCTTCCAGGTGCGATTCAAGGTGCTGGTTATCCCATATAAACCCTTACATGGCATCGGGCCAGGTTATTTGCGGAACCACCTATCTCCTGTTTTTCTGCCTGGCCAGTATAGACTAACAGAGTTGGCATACTCCAGGCCCCTAGAGTTAAACAGGGCCATCTATTGGGATGAAGAAATCAAGCCTTCTCTCTCATAGTGCCTGACCGCTAGAATGAGATTCTCCCTGATATTTGTGTGGCTCCCAGTCTAAGGGCATTCTGGAAGGCCTTGAGGATCTGGCTGTTCTTCCAGGCCTTTGGTTAAGGTGGATGGAGCCCCTTGTTGGATGTGCTTCTGTATATGATTTGTACTGAGTGGCCAGATCTCATCTTGTTTATCTATTTCGTATTGCATTTTTATCTTGTTTTTTGCTATACAGTATTGTAAACTACCCACACCAAACCAAACCAAACCAAACCAAATAATAAGTATTATCCCTATATCAGCTGAATAAAGGGCCTTGTCTGAAGAAAGCTGCACTAGCACATGTTTTATCACATTTTCTTTATCATCTTTGGCAGCCTGGAATAATGTATCTATGCACATGTGTGCGTACTGTGTACTCATTGCAGGCTGACTCTTCCCTGATTTCTTTTTTTACCTACATGAAAATGCACACTCCATTTTCAGCAATTTCTCACATCAGGTCTGAACAAGTTCATAGAATCCCTTTGGCTTCCTGGAAATTATATTATTTCCTCTCTTACTCATAGGCAAGAAAGAGATCAAATGTTCTTCAAAGCAGACTTACTTGACATGAAAAAGCCACAATCCCCTGGGAAAAGCTAGATATTTAGAACATAAATCTGGGATGTCAAACAAATTATTTGAGTGAGAAGTTATGGAAAGGATCACTGTGTTAGTTTAGTTAGGATACAGTTCCATACAAGCGTACAAGTTTGACAGAGCTTGTAATTGAGACACCTAGATCTGTCTACTATCCCAAATTAGATTTAAACTCCTTTCTTCTTAGATATAAAGAAAGACCCATTTCATCTCCCTAAACATACTAAATCTACAAATTTAAAGGGCAACTAAATGCATGATGGAGCTCTGTGAAACTCAAAAGCTTCACAGAAACTATGAAGGTTCCATGGCACGATATCACAGCGAGTATTTGGGAACTGTTCTGTTCCAGAAGCTCCCCAGAGACCATCCCAGGTAAATAACCAGCCCCCAGTGCAGCTCTCAAGATACAAGAATAATATCAAAAAACTCTCCTACCTTGACGGAATATGCAAGAGCGACAAAGCCCAGGCAGCACAGATTCATATAGATAGTGTTGAAGACTGACCAAATAATATAGTCCCGGGGGACCACAGGAGGCCTGACAGTGATGATGGTGGGAGAGGCTTCCTTCTCGTGGGATGTCATGGGCAGGCAGGTTTTGCAAAGGTGCAAAGAGAAAGAAAGAGGACATGCAGTTTCCCAGGAAGATTAGCCTGTGAGGGAGCCAGACTAGGGAAGCCCTTTATATAGTTCCTGGCTGAGGCACATTTTCATCTCTGTCTATATATATAGCAAAGAAATTACAGCTCTAGTTTGAATGTGGTTATGAGAAATGCCTTGCTGGGACTAAAAGAAATATTTGGTTTTTATGCCTGCCCTCTCTCCCTTGGGCAAAAAATGCTTTTTTATATCACTGTGGTTGATTTTGCACTACTCCCCACATTGGGGAATGATTCAGGCCCGTGGCTCAAAGGCAAAGTTTGGAAAGCTGCAAGGTGCCACCTACTCACTTCTGGGTCTTCCCTGTGAATGAAAGCAAAGAGATTTTGGAGTCATTTGCATTGCCTGCTTCTCATTCTTCCAGCTGTTGTGTCTTCCCTAGCCCCATTGCTGATTTCCTGGGCAAGGCCTAGGGGCCTGCCCCCACAAAAACTCTGCAGAAGTGGCCCCAGACTTCTGTGAACCTGTAATGTCACCTGAGGTTGGCAACTGAGCTGATTTATTTTCAGTTCTGTTGCAGTAATACCAAAACTGCACACTTTCACACATAGAAAAGTGATTTGATTTGATTTGATTTGATTATTTCTAAGCTTGCTCACACAAACCTAAAAGCAGGCCTATGTCCTATCCCAGAGCCTGCAGGGAGAGCCAGTTCTTATGTGTCTCCCTAAATGCTAGCAGGGTTGGAGCCATATGGATCTCAAAGAAGAGGGAGGAAGACTATTCCATAGGGTAGGTGCAGCAACAGGGAAGGCACAGCTCCCATAAGATGGCATTGCTTAATTGATGAGACCCAGAGCATGATGAGACCCAGAGGGGCGCAATATGGTTCATGGGGTCACGAAGAGTCGGACACGACTTAATGACTGAACAAAGAGCATGTTAACCCTGTCCAGCTTATAGGATGGGCCAAAACTCCACAGAACTTGCAAGAAATCCATTTTCCCATTGGAGGGAACTCTTGCCTCCCTCCTCCTCCTGGCTTATGAACTTCAGCACCTGGGTAGGTCCTTTAAGAGGAATGCTGACTCACCAGCCTTGCATTTCCCACTGAATAACTCAGGAGAGGAGCAGGCTAAAAGAACTCTGATTATTTTCCCCCTCCTTTTAGCAGGGGACAAAGTGGCGTGCAAGATAGGCACGATGGAAGGGGAGGTTTGGGGATGACAACTGTCTAGTACCCCCTCGTGCCTCCTTTGTATATACTCGTGTTTCGTTGTGTCTTGCCGGCACCTCGCTCGCATCTTTGCTGCTGGGTGTCCTGTCTCTTGCTACGTTGTGCTCCTGCACTGCCGGACCAGACTCAGGGAAGCTGCTGTCAGGCAAGTTCCAGGAGTTTTGACTCCTTTGTGTGTGTGTGTGTGAGTGCAACAGGATCACAACATTAGCCAAACCAGACACAGTGCAGAAAATGAGTAATCAGATTTATTATGTTTTTTTTTAATGTTCAGGAAGCCCTTTTTACAAATTAGAGGAGCAAGATTGGGGCTGAGGGATTATCCCTGTATGTCATTTCTTTAATTAAATCATGTACCCACAACTCCTAGCACTTCCAGTTCAATAGCTGTACTTGCCTTTTCTCCTGTGGGACTAATAGTAGTTTGGCATGATTTAAATCAGAGAAATTAGACTGGAGAAAGGGACATTAAAGAACCCCACTACCATTGTACCAAAAAGAAAAAGTTGGTGTAATGTTTTAAGAATAGTATTCACCGAATAATAACCATACTGATTTCCCTCCATCTTGCTTCCTCACAGCAGGAGCACATTCCACCAACCTCATTTCTTTTAGCTGTGACTCCACCATGTGGCCAGTAGAAACCCTGCAAAAAATCTGTGCCTAAAGGAGAGTCAGATGAAATCTCCTGGTTAATACTTTTATTATGGCAAGCATTTTGTGGATTGGATTCTACTGAAGTATAAAGTGAGATCAGAGAGAAATGCCATGCAAAATACAGGAACTGTGTTGTGATTAAAGTTTAGAAGTCTTCCCCACAATTTGATCTTTCCCCACAAATCAAATATGTTCAGTAGTTTAGTATTTTCCAATACTAATGATGGCTCTCCTTTCCAATTTTATGTTATTTCTCAATTGACATTTCTTCTGCTTTAAATCCCCCAGAGCAACTTGTTCATTTTTCAAGCACCAGGTATGCAAGATCTACACTGCAAAGGTTCCATTCAAATTCTTTCTATAAGACATATCAAACAAAAGTATTCATTATAAGGGCCACTGTGGACCATTGCTACTGTTGACCAATACTGTATATACAAAAAAAGATGGGGCTTGCATCATGATGACATGCCATCTTGCCTTTTTTGACCTCCCCCATAGACACTATTGGCTGGTTGCTGGCTATACATGCATATACTTTAAATTGAGCTCTTTCCTTTTTCTGTTTTCTGAATTAAAAAATGCTTACCTTTAAGATTCCCCCATGATCCCAGTTTAAGGCTAGCTAGAAGTATATATTCTCCCCTATAAAAATCCCACTGAGTAAGCCATGGCTGAGAGAGCTGGGGACTAGTCAGATGGATGGGCAGGCCAATGTTTCCTGGTCAAGGGAAGGAGGCCACCATTTCTGCACTTAGCCATTCTTCTTTGCAGGAAACTTCAAAGCTGGCTGGCTTCTGACCTTGGGCCTTTTCATGGGAAAGTCCAGGGGTGAACTCAAGAGCTTCAGCCAGTGTATAACTCCTGGAAGAACAGCTGGGCTCTGGGAACAGCACATCCTTGATAGCCAGCTCTCCCACTAGAACTGTGCACCAGCTGAAACTCAGCAAGCCATCATCAACAGTTTAGTTTGTACTTTTTATCCCCCAAGGTGATTCCTTTTTGCAGCTTTTGACTCTGCATTTGAAAAGCAAAGAATAATTCTGGTTGGTTGACTCTTGGCACTTTTTTACTTTGGCACCATTCATTCATGTGCTTATCACTGTATCCTGTATTTCATTCTCTTGGGCTGTCTGGGTGTATGGATACCTCCACTTTATACTGCACTAATCAGTCCACACCTGGAATACCATATCCAGGTCTGGTTGCCACAATACAAGAAGGATACTGAGGCACTGGAAAGAGTGCAGAGAAATGCTACAAAGATAGTAAGGGGCTTAGAGACTAAATCCTGTAAAGAACAGTTAAAGGAACTGATGGCAGCAAAATTGGAGTTAATTGATAGAGTTAGAGTCCGACTGGGGTCATAATCTATTGAACTTGCACCCGTCAACAGAACATGCCAACAAGCTCTCTGGTTAAGTTTGCAAAACAGTTGAAACAGGAAGATATTGATCAGGTGTGAAGTTAGCTAGCAGAAAAACAGGAGCAGAGATGTAGATGTGTATTCAGATAAAGCCTAAAATAAAGATGTTCTAAAACCACTAAGCATCTCAGATACAGAAAATCACCAGTTGTCATGGACAGAGACACACATGGTTTGAAAAGGTGTAATGATTATGGGATGTTAGCTATTAAGTACGCATGCTCAACTGAGTGACCAATCATGGAACCTCTGATTACGATGCTGTTTTTGAAAAGATATAAAAGATTTATGCTTTCTATTTTTGGGGCTCTCTTCTTGGGA